CCACATTTTAAGTTCCCATGAACCAAGGACTGATTGACGCCCAGTTTAACATAAGCACCATTTTATGAGAGTTACCATAGTGACCAGAGTCCAGTTATCAGCTTGAACAATTTCATATATGATTAATGTTAATTGCTCATTTTGCATGGATGACTTTTTCCCAGTTGCTGAATTGGTTGCTGCTGCCTTTGATCTGTTTGGGAATACAATCCAGTGCAATAGTTAGAAAAGTGATCAGTTTGCCAACACTGAGAGAAGATGGATTCAGGTTTCTGTGAGGTCAGAGTTTGTTTCTCTTTATAAACACTAAAAGGTCAGGCAGAGTTTAACTACCATTGGCATCCTTGAAATGTTGTAATAAATGTCAGATCTAAGAGATTATTATTAATCCACGATGCAATTAAAAGTCTTACTGTTCTGGCAAATAATAATTTAAAAAAAGATTCTTATTGAATTTAACAAGCACATTGAAAGTCCGAATAGCACTTTCCCAGTCAGGTAAACAACACCTTCAAAACTAATATCATTCATGATTTTCATGGTTTCTAATGTAAGCAAGAAAAAGACACATTGAGGGACTATCCCAGGGGATTTTACATATCAGTGATAGCTCTGAAAAGTATACCCCAGGTCATTGTTAACTACTCCCACTTCAGGATCCAATTGCAGTGGTCTTTACAAGTTGCTACTCATACTACCTTTAACTGCCACTTTATCCTCAGCAATTTGCTCAGTTTGTCCCAGAATGTTACAAGTGTTTCTTTAAATAGTAGTAAGCCAAGCTTTCATTGAAGAGGACATGACTTGTGATTCCTCACTAAATCACGTGTGACCATATGATCTATATTAAGTATCTTGAAGGCTCATAACATGACTAATAAATGTATTAACAATATTTTTTTGAAACAACAAAATCACTCCCTTACTAAGTTGCTTATGATTCATATACAAATAGATGATGACATGAAATTAAAATAATTCCAATAGTGAAATTTCATAATCTTAATGAGCAAAGTATCAGCTACTTTATCTATTACAATTTCAAATAAATTTATCATAAAATGTGTCATATTTTGTTGACATGAGAAGACCTATTGAATTTCCCTCTTAGGGAAATGCTAGCTCTACAAAGTGTATAAACTGCAAGGTAACATTGATGGTAATTTACTTCAACTGCAGAAATATGAAATACTGTTGATACATATTTCAAGTTGGGTTATTCTTTAATCTCAGGAGTTATTATTTCATTTATTCTAAAGAAGTTTACAGAATGAAGGGTAAACTACATATCAAGGTAAATTATGTTAAAGGATAACCTGGACCTAGAGAAAATCATGATTCTTTGGAATAATATCTCTCCAAACCACGTATAAATGTTACACCCAGTGTTGATTCTATAAAGCTCTGAAATCTCTCAAAGATTTAGCTGAACTATTTAATGAAAGTTTTGATATTTTATTAGGTTATTTGCCATGTGCTTTAACAACTTTCATTTGTGCTGTTTATTCCTGATACATCCACTGAGCCATTTGGGTGGGAACTTAAAAAAAAAAAAGGTCTGTTTTGTTTTACAGAGTACAAATAACCTTGTAATTAAACTGAAAACAAATAATTGCCAACAAGTAATTATCATTCAATTAACGAGTAATTACATGATTTTTTTTGTACCCTGTAAAATAAAGAGTTACTGAAATCAGTAAGGCAATCAATATTTTAGCAGAAACAGGATGCGGCAATGATGGACCTTTTAACCTATGCTGATTAAATTGTCATCCAAATAACAGTTTCCTAGTTAAATCCCTGCATGTTTATTTGTCTTGATTAATATGTAAATATCTGCCTGATGCTAATAAAGCTCTTGAAGATAAGAAGTATGGCAGGATCATCTATCAAGAATGATCTTTACCAACTTTCTGTAGAGTCCTCTATAAGTCTTTCATCATGTTGTCAGGCTTGTGTACTTTGAAAGGAGATGCACGAACTTTAGTGCTAGAAGTATCTTACTATAGAGGATCGTTAGATCTAAAAGTAAAAATAAAGCTATCTTACGTTAGTATAGAGAGCTATTGGTTATAAGACACTTTCACAAGCCTGATTTTAATTAATGCACTCTAGGGGCCCAAGTCTTCTTCCCAAGAGTAAAAACAAAGGCATCTGAATGTGATTTTTGCTCTCTAATAAATTTAAGCAAGTTTGGAAGTAGAGATCATATAATCATACTCACTAAAGAGTTAATCATAAATTTTAAATAACAGGTCAAATGCATATCTTTATCACTAGACCATAAGCCCCTCAAAGGCAGAAGCTGTTCTAGGTTCTCACCATTTATCAAAGAACAAACAGACCAAAATCCTTGAACTTGTCAAGCTTACATTTTAACCTTTGTGACCCTGATACCTAGCTCCAGTGCCAGACGTACACTGAAGAGCATGTTTGTATACTGGATGATTGAATAAGTGATACTGTCACTGCACAAGTATAACTCCAGGGACTTTTAGTCCTTGAGAAGATTGTGGAGCTAGTGGGACCTCTCAGACATAAGGCAGTGGCATCTATCCTTCTTTAACCATAGTCACATTTGAATGGATCATATTTTGAATGTTCTATAATTGCTGTAGAGTCCAAGACTTTAAAATGGTTAACTGATGATTAAATGATGCAACTGGCTTGCAGTTCATGTGGTCAAGGAGAATAGAGCAATCTAAGGATAATTTGGAAATTGTAGTAACAGTGGAATAATATTTCCTGTCCTTATGGACGAACTGATTTAGTTAACAATTTACCAGACCCTACTGTGTGCTAGATACCATGCAAATTGCTCAGGATACAGTGGCAAACAAAACCAGACATATGTGCTGCCTTCATTGAGCTTAAATTGTAGTTGGGGAGACTCACAATTATTCCTGCCAACATCATAAAATTATAAACTGAAAAGAATGTTAGGAGGGAGAATATGGTCCTTTGGTTCATAGCATATGTAGTAAATGCTACCAAGCCACTTGTGACATAAGCCATGACTTCTCCAAAATAGATCTGATGGTTGGAAATTTTATCAATTTTTTCAAACCTTGGAGTTTAAGGTAGAACCACCAGCATAGGAGGCCTCTAATGCCTCCCAAGCCTGAGTCAGCTTATTGGAAAAGAGCTACTTTTAATTATGACATTGACCAAGAAATCTGGCACAGAATTAGTTCAACCACATAGTTTTCAAAGTGTACAGCCAACAGCTGGTTCATCATATGGAAGTAGAGGGAGCATCAGTCTGCTTCCTTCTGGAGGCACCTGTCTGAAAGTGATCATGAGCATGAAGACAATGCTGAAATATTTACACTGGAACAGTACAAAGAGTAAGCAGGTGGGCCTGAGTCAAGTTAGGTTAGTAGGCTTGAGTTCTGACAAATAGAAAGACACAAAGAAGCACTTAAAAAGCAGAGATTTGGTGAAGATTATTCAACAAGATAACATACATTCTTCTAATAACTGGATATACCCTGATGAATACTGTTCAGTGATCTCGGGATCCTTTAGGGCATTTGAAGTAAATAGTGTATTTCTCTTAGCACTATACCTTAAAAGAGTTAGGAAGCCATAAAACAAGACAAGGACAAACAGATAACAACACTAAATTAAATAGAATAAATTATGGCCCAGAATCAAGTAGAAAGAGGGAGAGGAGAGTCAGTTTATAAAGCTGAAACATTGAATGAGAAAAACAGAATGTTACATGCTAGACTGATATACAATATTGATGTACAATGAATGAAAGTAACACTAGCAGTATGTGAAAAATGAACTGGTTAATGGTACCTCTGTGTAAGGTTTCTAGAAGTTGTCTTCATTTAAAAGCAGAGTTTGTCTTACGTTGATGGAGCACTTTGCTACTTCAAAGTTGATAGAGTGAGGTTTAACTTAAATTTCTTTGTGAACCAAAAGTCATTTTTGGAAATGTTCTCTATCTGAACCTCATATATTTTTGTGGCTTGGGTTATTTAATAGTATTTTGTCAAAAGCCCTATTATTCTGCTTTGTAAGCTGCATTTCTACTAAAAAGCAAAGCAGTATCTTAGGCCACATTAGAAAGTAATATTTGAAATATATTGGGTGACTAGAGAACGACTTGATCCTAATGTTCAATGACTTATGTGCCTCCTCATTGTGGTGACAGCTTCCAAATGATGTATTCAGTACACTGACTGTATCATGGTACAAGATGGAGGCCAGATACTGACTTTCTATTTCATTATTTTATGGATTAACATTTGCAACTGAATTATTCACGCTAGGGTGAAGAATGTGCAAATGGAATGGGTTAGGTTAATGTTATAAGTTTAGCCTCAACTCATCAGTTAAAAACACCAATCAATCTGTGAGAAAAGACAGCTTAGATTGCAAAGGTGGCAGGTTTTGTTAGTGTAGCCACTTTGAGAGAGTGCACTGCTGGTTAGACAGCCTGGTTTTTAAAAATAGGGAGGGAAAAAAATCTACTGAGGGAGAGGGGTCCTTTGTTCCTTGTGGGCTCCTGGCAGCTGTGGAAATGCTAATAAACATCAGGTCTTACTCTACATCTCTCAGTTCTTTACCCCTCATCCCTGGCATGCTGGGAAGAGACTTAATCACTTCATTTTCTGTACAATTATAATTCTGTGAGTCACTATCTCAGATCTCAGTAGCATGTTTTAATACTAGGGATCAAGTATAGCTTTAACAGCAGGGGGTAACTTTGGGTTTCTCGCAACAGGTAAGCTTTATTGCAAAGCGCTGGCTTATAAATGGAATCTAAACTAAAAATTGATCCTTTATGGTTTTAACGTTTGTCATAACTATATTTGGGAAATTTAGTGGGAAGGAAAATACTGGTCTTTTAGTAATCGGTGAATGTAGTCATTAATATAAAATTCTATCACTTTTGGCAATTAAACAAGATATAGGAGGTGAATGTAGCAAGTGGTGATATTTCTAAAAACCTTTAACCTGATATTTGTTTGTCTGTTTTTCAACAGTTCAAGACCTGGCAGGCCTCCTAAACGTTCTTTGGGAGTGTTGCAGGACAATGCTCGCCTTCTGCCCCACTCAGTCCCAGGCCTCTTATCACCAGGACTTATCGCTCCAACAGGTAATAAAATCCATCCAATGATCACCCTTGTCTCTTCATACTGTCCAGCATTTGAAATAAACTAATATTGATCTAACTGCCTTGTCCTTCAGAGCTTTTCAAATTGTACTAGAAGTTACATTATTTAATTTTTTTAGTATTCATGAAAAGAGTTTTATTACTCCAGTGACTCAAATCAAATAGACATGACTTTTTTTAAGTTAATTGTCATTTTTTTGCAGGAAATCCCTTTCAAGGCCTTATTTTGTGTATATATGCTTTTGTGTGTTGGGTGCAGGGATAGGGGTGCACTGGCCAAACCAGCATTGTCTGAATGCCTCCTATAGAATGCAGCACACCTGCTTACTTATACTTAGTAATATTCTTGTTTTCAAGGGTTCTGGGCATCTGTGTATCTTGTCCAAGTTATTACTCTAGGTTAAAATGTAGACAGATGCATCCCTGGTAAAGAAGCCTTATGATTAGAAAAGAAGAAAGGGCAAGTGGTCAGTCTTAAATCATAATCCATTGTTTTTCATTTAACACTGTGATAAACAGTGCTCCCCTAAAAATACCAGTCTCATAATTTAACATTGAACTTTTTGGACTCTAAAAAAAAGAACCTGAAGGTGCACTAAACACTTAAAAATAAGCTTGACATTGCTCTCATTGAACCTGTAAAAATCATTAAAGCTATTACATGGTAGAAAATTAATTTAATGACAATGAGATCTTTATAAATTCAGTGATACAAAAATTTATAAAGCACCTACTGTGTTTTGTGTATTAGGTCCTAGATAATGCATCATTATATGAGTAGCAGTCCTAGTCACAGTAGAATTAGAGAGAAGGACATGTAAACTAATAATTGTATTAAAGTGTGATACAGACTTTAATGCAAGTACATACATACAAGATAATATAAGATCACAGAGATGGGAGCCACTATGTCAATTTGGTAAGTTGGTTAATGCTCAGAGAGATGGGATCTTCAGAGCTATGTCTTACAGGCTGAGTGTTGGACAAATGCAGAATCAGGGGGAAAACACTCAAGGCAGAGAGAAGAATATAGACAAATATATACTGATGACAAATAGCCTAGTGTGCTAGGGGCAATGACAATTAAGTTGTAGATACTGGAGCCAAGATTTGAGGTCAGAGATGCCTAGGTGATATGGTTAGAATAGAAAGGGTGGAAAAAGATAGCTTGTGAAGCTAGTTTTTTATTTATCATGTTTAGTAGTTTGTGGTTTTCCCTATAGACCAGTGGTTTCCAAAGGATCTTTTAAGGACTTTCCTTACTAGCTGACATGGACTTGGGGAAATACTCCCAGGTTCCCCACTTCTGCCTCAATTAGATTTTGCATATTTTAATTCATGTATGATTTTGTTTTAAAAAAAGCTGCTGTAGGTAAAAGGAACTACTTCTAAGTAACTGAATAAATGTTGTAAAAAGAATTGCTATGGAGGGTAAATAGCAGTGAAGGAAAGGAAGGTCAGTTGCTCCAGTTCAAGAGAGAAATACTGAGGACCTGAGCTAAGGAAAAGTCAGTAAAGTGGGAAAAAGTTCAGAGTAGTTTAGTAATTAGCATTAATCATACTTGACAAATTGATCAAAATAAAGGGTGAAAAGATGAAGACTTGGATGATTCATGTCTAGCCTGGGTAACGAGCTGGATGATGGTATCATTATCTAGGATGGAGAATTTAGGAAGAAACTTAGGCTTTGGGGATTAGATAATGATTTTTGTAAACTTGAAGTATTTATAAACACATTCTAATAGAAGAAGAAAGGAGCTCTGTGCATATAAATTAATATAGAAGGGATAGCCGTACCTGGAATATATCTTGGTGTTCAATAAATGATAATCTATTTCTTGACTTCTAAAATATATTGAATAGAAATAGTACCTTGTAAATAATTAAATCAGTATCCAGATTTTGAGAGAGTATGTACATTAAAGAAAAAAAGGATTTGAAAATTGCCTGAAGCTAATGTACTCTTGAGTAAACTTTAGTACCTTATCTGTTGAGGAAAACCTGTAATGTATATTCAGTTCCTATTATATACCAGGCATGGGTGCTAAATATTTTATATACACTCATTTAATCTTCATAATAGTTTCACGATATTATAAACAATTTATGGTTCAGTGAGTTTAATTGCTTAGGGTCACAAAGCAGTTGAGTAGCAGCACTGGATTTCAAATCCAGGTCTTTTAAACTCCAGAGCCCATAACTCTTTCCTGATCATCATGGTATCTTATAATGCATGTGAAAATCCAGTTTGAGGTTTTCATCTCATCCTACTTTACTTGGCATACTAGGTCTGAAAATTAGGTTCACGAACTTATTGCAACGATGTTGCTAACATTTTTTTATATCAGAGTGTTTATTCATTACGAATTTGTACCAATTGAACAAACAGTTAACCAAGTTTACTATTTTGGAAGTGCTGAAAAGGCTGCCTGTAAAAGTAGACGACCTGAACTTTTCACCAACAATTCATGGCTCTTGCATCACGACAATGCACCACCTCACAGGGCACTGTCTGTGAGGGAGTTTTTAGCCAGTCAACAAATAACTGCATTGGAACACCCTCCCTCCTCACCTGATCTGTCCCCCAATGACTTCTTTTTTACCTAACGATAAAGGCAATATTGAAAGGAAGACATTTTGATGATATTCAGGACACCAAGGGTAATACAACAACAGCTCTGATGGCAATTCCAGAAAGCATTCCAAAATTGCTTTGAAGGGTGGACTAAGCACAGGCATCGGTGCATAGCTTCCCAAGGGGAGTACTTCGAAGGTGACCATAGTGATAGTCAGCAATGAGGTAGGTAGCACTTTTTGTAGGATGAGTTTGCAAACTTAATTGGCACACGTCATATATGCTTCACCCCCTACCAGATAATAGAGCCTCCTTCCTTGTGTTACAGCCTTGGCCTTCCCTCCTACAATTTGAATTTACCACTATGAGAGCCATCAAAGCAAAACTCCTTATTTTTTAACCCTTTGCTTGTGCCTAGAATGAAATGATAGAAATAGATAAAGCTTTGAGTGGGGAAAGGCATGACCACCTCTAAATGGCAGACAGTAGAAAAAAATGTTAAACAGGGGAAGGAGAAAAAATCTGCACAGATCTACAGTAATTATTCGCCTTAGTTTACATGAGGTTATTTTACATGCCCAAGAATATCTTACTAACCTATAGTCAAATATAAGAAGAAAAAAGCTCTGTAAAACCAAGTAGAAATAATTCTGGGAGTATGCATTATTTTGGATTAGACACACCACTTCTCTCCTCCACTAGCAAAGATAATTGAGATGGAATCAATTATCAATTTAGCTATCAGCAAGCTTCATATTTGACATTATACTTAATATGCATTACAAACTTAACTTTCATTAATTTATTTAAAATACTTCTGAAGAATTCAGTTGATATTTTTAATATAGTTTGTTACAGGTTAAGAATTATTCTTTTTTAAAATGATTATTGAAATGTTTTTGAAGACTTTTTAGTTTTAGGTCCTTGTATCTCAAAATATGTTTCATAAAGAAAGAGATAGTTATACAGCTGTGTATAATTTTACATAACACTGGCGAGTCAATTATTGAAAAGAGTCTACTGCTGCTTTCTGTTTCAATGTCATATGTGTAGAGAGGCCCCTTTGAAACCTGCTGAATTTGCCTAAGTAATGGAACTTGTTCTACATTTGTTTATTTATTTCTTGAAAATGGGGTCTAAAGGTAACAAAATAGAATGACCATGATGTCTCTCTTCAGATATTGTGTGATGTTTTTGTATATTATTTTTGCCTTTAAATTGTTTTCTCCCGAGTAGTTATAAGCAAATAATGCAAGTGAAAAGGTTTAGAAATTGTTACGATATCATCCTTAGATTTATTTACGAAGAGTTCTCAATTTATTCATATACCTTGAATGTAAATCTTTCCAAATGCAGAATATTTTTCAGGTATGCTATATTGTTTTATCTGCTTCACATAAACGTAATTTCTTTTAATTTCTGTTTATATGATTTTATTTTTTATTTGTATTTTTTATTTCAAAAATGGGTATTTTCTTCTTGGTTACATTTCCCCTATATAATGAAACCTGATTCCTTCAAACTCCACTTATTCAGAATTTACAATAATTCAGACAGTGGCTATGCTAAAGTCTCTAGTATTAATAAAAATATCTTGTTTAGCAAATTAAAACTATGAACAAAATTGTGTGTGTGTGTGTGTGTGTGTGTGTGTAAATGTGTGCAAGAGTGTAGGGTCCTTAAAATACTTAGAAGTTTTAAATGTACTTAGGTATCTAAAAATTAATTTAGCAATTTCTGTTTCCATATAAATAATCAACATAGTAATTACTTATGATAGGTTTATATTCACTTAGAAAGGACTCATAGGATAACTTCTTGACAATGTTCCTTGATATTCATTTAGCTATAATATCTATGTAACTATAGACAGATATATAATGTCAATATCTATCATTTGTATCTATAAAGATATATATATATATATATATATGCATTCATTGTTTTCATTTAACATGTATTTATTGAACACCTATTCTGCACCAAACAGTATGAGAAAAATTATAACATGTTAATATAAAAATCATTTTTGAGCAAGTTTTCCCAAATCCTATTCAGCTTTTTCCCTAGTTATTACTAAATGATGAAGTTTGACTGTGTCTTGTCTTCATATATTGAACTACTGGTATTCTCATCTCATTTTTCTGTCTCTGTTCCTGTTGTACAATCCATATCTTAATTCCCTGATAGCACACTAATACATAATAATCCCATTTAATAGTAGTTTCTGTAAAAGTCATTTGGGCTATAGGGGGAAAATGAAGAGGGAATATCCTCCCCATCTTTCTCTGCAGCTCTGCAGAAATGCTAATATCCCTAGATCACACAAAAAGGATGGATTAGTCATGTGTGCCTTCGAATTTCCCAAAAGATGACTGCTCCCCTTTCCTCAGCTTATGAAGCATTT